AACATGTAAGATGACGAGTGCGTTTGGGAATTTCGATAGTGCGCGCCTTGCACCAGTTCAGTTCGCTTTGCATACCACAAAAATTTTAAATGTTGCAACTGTTTTTTTGAATTGTTTTTTTTTTGTTTCCGTCGCGCACTCATTCTGTTAGTCGTTAGTGGCTTCGCCGCTGCTCGCAATATTATGGTGGCTTCGTGTCGCCTTTTTGACTAAGTTTCACAGTTGCAGTCGGCATCATAATCTTTATCGCGCTGCCAAAAAATTCTCACTCTCCTACGCGCCCGACAATGTTGTCAAGAAGTTGTTGTTTTCTTGTTCACCGACATGTCGCCAACTATTATTGACGCCGCCTGTCTGTTGACATTTGAAAGGATTGTTTTGGCTACATTTATCCTCTAATATCTTCTCGCCTTCTTTAGCGCTAAAATAAATACAACAGAATAGAATCGTGCATGAGTGTTAGGCCAAATCTGTTCGTTTACCAAGAAAACCTTAACATAGTTTGTGATAGCCAGAACTTCATTTGAGTACGGCTAATAGTGATCCAAATAAAGATCTTAAAAAAAAAATAAAGATCAGTCTAAACAAGTAAGAGCAGCGCTGTCTTCGGCTATGCCGAAGGCTTCATACCTTTCATGAACATCTGCAAATTTTAGTTTGACAGATTACTGATTTTGAATACATCTGCATACATCGATAGAGGAGTTACATACTTATATAAAAAATCGCACCTAAACAATCAGAGGTATGGAAGATATACTTTATATGACACCAATCTAAGTGATTTTCACTGCTATGTGATCGGTATGTAAACCGGTAACACAATTTATTGGGTTAAGTTTCCTACATAAAGGATATATATCGCAAAAACTAGTATCTGAACAATCAGTGCTATAGCAGATAAAGCTTATACAGCATAGATTTTGACGATTTTCTCAGTAGACTTTGTATTATTATTTATAAAATATCTTACGAAATTTATCGGTTTTAGCTGTTCAAATAAAGGAGTTTTACAGTAAAATCCCATATCTGAACAATCAGATGTATGGAAGATATATGTTGTAGTCACCAGATCCTTGTTATTTTCACTGTACGTATTCTGTTAATAATGAGTGAAAATGGTGCGAAATTTCATGTTCCTAGCTGCATAAATGGAGGAGATATGATAAAAGACCCCATATCTGAACAATCAGTTGTATGGGGGCTGCAGGTTATAGTGACCCGATCTTCGTTATTTTCACTGTAAGTCTTCTGCTGATAATGAGTGAAAACAGCGCGAAATTTCATGGTCCTAGCTAAATAAATGGATGAATTATAACGAAAAATCTCATATCTGAACAATCAGTTGTATGGGAGCTATAGGTTATAGTTATCCGATCTTTTTAATTTTCACTGTAAGTTTTCTGTTGATAATTATTGAAAACAGTGCGGAATTTCCTGTTCCCAGCTTTATAAATGGAGGAGTTATAACGCAAAATTTTATATCTGAACAATCAGTTGTATGGGAGCTATAGGTTATAGTTACCCGATTCTTCCGGTTCCGACAAATGATTAATACATTATAAAAATACACCCACCTACCAAATTTGATCCGGATATCTCGAAAACTGAGAGACTAGATTGCATACAAGCAGACGGACATGGATAAATCAACTCAGCTCGACGTTCTGAACATATAAGTATACATTTTAATGGGTCTATCTCTTTTTGTTCTGGTACTTACAAACATCGGACCAAAGTTATAATACTATTTCATGCTCATGAAAGGTATAAAAATTAACTAGTTGAGACGTTTTCTGTAGGTTTATTTGTAAAAAATCAAGGTCATAACTTATGAATTCATGCTTAGCGTAGAATTTTTCTCAAATTCGACATGTATACACAAATCGACCCTTCCTAATGCATGGAAATTAGTACTCTGCAGGAAACCGAAGTAACTCTTCACTAGCACCGCACAGTGTGGAAATTTAACTGTTTTTCTGACAAAATATCTCGGCAACGAAAACAGCCAGCGAAAAAAGTTTAAACACATTTTAAATGTTTCGAAATAAAAAAGAACATGAAGAATAATTTCGTTTGATAGGGGTTATTAAAATTTTGTTTCTTTTTTTTCTGGTGAAAAATTAAATTTAGTGAACTTTTTAAATACATATTTTTGCTCCAATTGCGTCAAGAAGTTCACAAAAATATTATTTGGGGTATTCACGATCCGATGCATACTGTGTCGCATGGTGCATGAATTGCATGATTGGATGATTTTGTTGTTGTTTCATGTGTTCAACCAACAACAAAATTAGCCAATCATGCTATTTATGGTATCTATGCACCATGCGACACAGTATGCACCGGCTCGTTAATATCGGCTAATCTAAAAAGTCGTGTTTTTCGCGAAAAAAGGCAATCTCGCAACTCAATTCATATATGTACATTAGCCTGTCACAAGAATATATTTGTAAAAAAAATTTTTTGCGAATTATGTTATGCATACCATCTATATTTGTGCTTTTTAGCCTAAATAGCAAATATATGAGGTTTAATGGCAATGGGGTAACGTTAACCCGTGCCGACTTTTAGTTGTACTTTTGGTTAATAAGTTGAACTAATCGTTCATGAAAACTTATTTAATGCGAACAATTCGATATACTTCCCATACCTCAACGTATTTCTAGTAAATCTGCATCTTTACATTTTTTATAGGACGGCACGATTACTTCACAAGGACATCGAAAAAATTAATTAAAGGCAAATGTCCTTTGCAATTTTTATTCTTCAATATCCTTATATGTAAATATTTATAGAATTTAAATTAAACTAAGATTCTTGAAAATGCATTCAAATGAAAAAATCTTAAAGTTAAATATTTTTAAAGGATATTTTTCACATGTTCCAAAGGCTAGTTGAAAACAAAAGTTATAATTAATCTTGTTTTGAATTTTTCTTTTAATTGACACCCATATATCCATATTTTGTGAAAACTTTAATTAAGTTCATTATTCATTTATGGTCCTTTGGCAAAAATCCTTACCACCTGGTAAAAAACTAAAAACGCAGATTTACTAAATATTATGCCCTAATACTATACGGAATACAGTAATACCGCCTTATATAGAAGTAAAATGAGTAAGTTAACAAAACACGCGAACTGCACAAAGATTATTCTAATAACTTTTACTGCAAGTCGGCACGGGTTGTCATGGTCCGAATTGATTCAAGATTTCTTTACCATTTCTACAAAAAAATTTTGGAAAACTGTGAGCGCTTTGGGCGACCACTAAATATTTTATGATGGCAAAAAAAAAATTGGGGTTTAGTTTTTTCCAATAATATGTAGAACAATCCTAGGATGAGAGAGCAATTAAATTCCGACTTTACTTTTTTTTGTTGACCACCTTAATGTACATACATATATAGTCTTCAAGACCTGCGTAGGCAAGAATAACGTCTTATTTTTCTGCTATATACAATCTTCAATTATGAATTTTTGGCCATTTTCTATTGCCCTTTCATTGCTGATCTCATATATCAGTTAATTATATATTTTTTGTATTTCTACGCAAAAGTGGCAATTACTTTCTTTCATTATTATAGAGTGTATGAGCTGAGTTCGTAGACACTCAATGGCATTTAATTTGCTATGATAATCCTTTGGACATTCACACCACTCATGGAAATGCATATATGCCACAAACACATTTTTAGCGACATACATACAAATATGTACATTCTAAGGAACACATATGCATGTATACTTTCTAATAAAAATAAATCTCCTATATCACTTTCACTGCATTTTCAGCTTATTGCTCATTCATATGATGCTGATGCGCTTTCATCAATTCTAATTGAATGTTTTTTGTTTGTTTTTTTTTTTTTTGTTAGAATATTTTTTGTGTTGCTGTTGCTGTTATTGCTACTTTTTCACACCTCACTCTGTAATTATATTTGTTTATATGTATGTATGTTTTTTAATTGGATATTGTTATTTTGGTTTATTGAAGCGTGTGAAAAGTGAGAAACACTTTCAATGTCAATATGAAGATAAACTCGCCGCCATGCAGCTTTGTAGCGCTGTCTAACTAAAACACGTAACGGCCAAAGTATTGTCTGCCTCGCTATGTAGTAAGTATTTATGTAGATGCATAGTAGTTGACTCATTTGAGGATCAGCGCTGGTGTGCGTAGGTGCAAAGCTGCGCGAGTGAGTGGGTATGTGTGCGTATTTCACTCAAATTTGCTTGTGCTCAATATATGTACATAGACAACTATGCGATTTCTATGCAAAATAAATTTTTTCATTCGCGATGTGCCGTCCAAAGTGAAACGATGGAATGCTTGCGGTAACGGTAACTAACTACTTAACAACAGAAAGGTGTTTCAAGGGCAGGAGAGTGTTTGAAAAAATATTGAACTGTGTTTTGTGTGCATGAATTCGGAAGTGTATTTCATAGAAAGTTATTTGTTTCTAATATTTTCTGATGCATTTTATTGGCCTACAATAATAATAAAAAACAAATTTAAAAAAATAAAAAAAAACCTTTTCAACATATTTGTGGCTTAAGAACGCAATTTTTATGAGAATTAAAGTGTATATGGCCACTTTTGCGATAGTCAATTGAAAGATAAGCAACAATTTAAAGACAAAAGTGCGCCGTTAAAAGGTTCTAAGCACTAAAGTTAAAAAAAAAATTAATAAATAAATAAATAATGTACACTAAACTGAGGCCTTGCTCCCTTGCTCCGACGCATTTACCATACATTTCTAAATATATGTGTGTATAAGAATACAGTGATTTGTTCCACGAAACCCTCAATATTACAAAAAAAAAAAGTTTAACAAAAAAGATGAAAAGTATTAGTCAATCAAAGTATACTTTGAAAGAATAGTGTAAACCAATTAATCGAATCGTCAAAAACTAGTGTTGAAATCAAATTAAAATATGCAACAAATAACTAGCTACGAAATTGTTTCACATTTTCAATAACAACAACAAATATTGAATAATGAGCTTCTCAGTATCACCAATGAACCTAACCTTCGAATCGATCAATTCTCCTGCAATTAACAACACTTACCACTACAACAATAGCAACGAATTATACAACAACGAAAGCACCATCAATGCATCTTCTTACCACTCCACAAATACCCACAACAACAACTATCACATAATCAACAAAATGCTGGAAATACACAATACCAGCACAGCTCTGCTGAATGCCACCAATCCAAGCCTAACCAATTCGGAGTATGAGCAATTCGAGGAAATGGATGAACTATCACCAGAATTGCGAAATTTCGTACGCATTGTTGTACCCTTCTGTTTTGGCATTTTTGCGCTGACCGGCTTCTTTGGCAACACACTTGTCATACTGGTCGTTGTCTTCAATCAGCAAATGCATTCCACAACAAATCTGCTGATCGTCAATTTGGCTGTGGCCGATCTGCTGTTCGTTGTTCTCTGCATACCGTTCACAGCAACCGATTATATAACCGAGTATTGGCCCTTCGGTGATATATGGTGTCGTTCGGTGCAATATTTGATTGTGGTAACCGCATTTTCCAGCATCTATACGCTGGTACTGATGTCGATCGATCGCTTTTTGGCTGTTGTGCATCCGATACGTTCACGCCAATTGCGCACCGAGAAAGTGACAAAGATTGCAATTGCAACGCTGTGGGTGATTATTTTAACGATTTCCACACCAGTGGCGTTGGTGCATGGCTTAGCGGTGAGTAAGGAAGTGCTTCGAGTAGTAGATATATTCCAAATTTGGATATAGAAATGATTGAAGCATATAGACGCGTATGTGTATATATTTTTATATATTTAAGTCAAATTAACTAAATTTTTAAACTCGCCATACATTTTAATCTTTTAGTTCAAAATCAATTTCATAAAATTCTCTTCCTTGTATTTTTATTTCATCGATTCAAAAACGAACTAAGTTTATTTAGTAAAAAAAAAACGAGAACATAATTTGTATACACATAAGCGTTCCGCCGGCAAGTTTACTAGATAGAGATATAGTAAAACACTCCTGTCAAAATTGCAGAAACTTACAGAACAAACCTATTGTTCTACTGACGAAAACATTTAATACTTTTTAAGTTGGAGTCCCGTAGAAAATATTAAGTGGCCAATGTTTGCCGTCCTTTGATTTCAAATATGTAAGATTTGATAAAAAGAGATTTAGAGGCTGCACGTCACATAAGTAGTTACAGCGACCGAAACGATCTATTGAAACAAACTTCTATTCAACATCGCTCGGTCCTTTGGCTTCATTCCATTTAGATCGTGTGCTTCAGAGTTATTTTTCCCCATGCCCCAGTTGTTCCTGACCGGGAAAAGACCATGAAGTTTTGGGTGTAGTTAAATCTTGGAAGGCATAGGTCCACAAAGCTTGTGCCTAGCCCACCTTTTTGTTTTATCACCCTGAGGGTGTAAGGGTGTATAAGTTTCTTGACCTCTGAACTGTTCCCTGAGATGAGCCTCCCTATAAACAGTAGCGCCTTTTTCTTATTTGCAATGTGTAGGGGTGGCAAGTCAAAAATCAACTTGAGTGCCGCAGTTGGTGTTGTTTTCATCGCGCCAGTGATGCCCAAGAAGGCCAGTCGTTGAAGCTGAGCTTGGCCTGCGTGGATTTCACTTCTACCTTCTTCCACCAGACGGGTGCAGCATAAGGATAATACGTTTGGAGATCGCATCATACATCCACCTTGCCAGTTTAGGTCTATTGCCGCAGTTCCGTCCCATAAATTTCCGGCAAGTCCAGATAGAGGCGCTAGCCTTTTGAATACTTTTATCTAGGTGTGGATTCCATGAGAGCTTGTCATCAAGGATAATTCCTAGATATTTGATCTCTCTGAAAAGGTGTATCTCTGCACCGTGAAGGAATGGTTCTAGCAATTTGTCCTTTTCATTCATCCTGGATAAAATGACTATGCTATTCTTCTTGGAGTTTACGCTTAACGCATTTTTACTGCAAAAATTGGCGATTATGTTCAAAATATTCTGTAGGAGTTTGGAGATAGTACCTCTGATTATAATGGCAATGTTATCCGCATATCCCTGAACGTCAAAGCCGTTTACACAAAGAAGGCAGTTCGTCTACTATCCCTCTAATCCCTCTGCGGAGGACGAAACTGTTTATAAAGAGTATTCCGCGTTGTCTAAAGCGACCTCCACGGTCCTAGAAACTTCCCACCGGTACCTCTTTGTCCTCCAAAGACTTCTCAATTTTCCTTGTTAGAGTCTGAAGAGCGTGGATAGTAGATTTTGCTGGGAGATAGGAAAATTGGTATCTTTGAAAAGGGTTCCCGGTAAGGAAGCTATCCTTGATAAGCCTGTCTACGATTCTTTCCATTGTTTTTAGTCCAAAGGGCGTAAGACTAGTTAAATATGTTAGCTTACTGCTTTTTTAGATGGCTATTCTTTTAAGGAATTGCTCCAGAAGGATGCAACCCGCTCTATTTGATGAACTACATTTAACGTTAACGGCCTAACTGAAAAAATTTGTTTCAAGCCCGTGGATTGCAAAAAATAATCAAAAAATTAGCAAAAATATTTTTTCGCGCTATTTGTTGGGACTGCATGAGATGCATAACTCCCTAAAATTTTTAGCAAAGGAGTCTGAAAATTACAATCTTGAGTTTTTAAAATGCTTTTTTAAGTCTCAATTTTTCTATTTTTTCACTTAAATACAGCCTATCAAAATCCACGGCAAAATTTTGATTCTTTTCTGCGCTTAATTTTTTTTAGTATTTTATTTGCCTGCATTGATATGTAGGTAATACGAAGCCAATATTTTTGCTCTTTACTATCGAAACCAGATAATTTTTCGTCGACTCACACTTACAACTTGTGAGCCGTCATTTTTTGCACGGCAGCGTAGGACGCCGTCGAGGATCCCGTGGATCACTGGGGGTCCACCTGGACAACTTTGGGAATCACTGAAATAGAGACACAAAACAAATTACTCAAAGCTCATAAATACCCAAATATATGCTGGACAGCTGACGCTCATTCACAAACTATACACGACAAGACTCAAGGCGCAAACTAATTAGTACCTATCTTAAATTTCTCCGATCTTAATCTGCAAAAAAGTATATCATTTACGGTCATCGTCCGTGATCATTGCTTAAAAGATATACGAGCGTCTACAAAATTATCATTGCCCATTAATCAACACAATTTGTTTAATTTTTCTAACAGAAAATAAAAAATTAAAAGAACAATAAAAACGAAATAAAAAAAAACTAATTTTCCTTTTTCAAATGATTCAGCTCTTTAAAAACATCGCAAGTTCTACTACTACTGCCTTTGATTTAACAATTTCGATTTTGATTACACACGCACATAGCACATTCTTCAATTTATTGCTTTCCATCATTCGCACCTCGTTGTGGAACGGCCAACTGGGAAATAGCTAAATAGCTGCCAACTAAATACATGGCTAACAAGCCAACAAACAATGCCAACGTATGCGCAATCAGCAAAGCTGGAACACTTTATCAGTCCATGTCAGTCAGTTGGTCGGTCGGTGTGTTGGTCTCTCGACGGTCAAGTATCCCGTCAGCTATACATATCCACCCACTTGTTCAGCAGTGGACTCAATGTTTATATTAATTTTTTTTTTCGTCTTAGTTTCCCCTTTTCTGCTGGTGTGATTGCTTTTGCTTTTTTTGCTTGCCTGTTTGCTGTTTTCATTTCAACTTAGAAAGTAGCAACATTTGATTTAAATAAAATTCACATTTTAATATTTGTTTTCTACACGTGAATTTTATTGCAAACAGTTGGTGCCCCAGCATGTGGCAAAGCTCCTAGTTAGCTGCTGTTGTAATCAAGTGTTTTGCGGTGCGTCAGCGTGTATGTAGAAGCTTTGTGGAATTCCTGGTCTGAGTAACAACCAAAAACATCCACCATTTGAAGAATTGTAAATTTGTGTGGCTTCCTCTGTTTGTATGATAACTGCAAGAAGCACTTTGAAAACACTTGGGGAATATGCAAGCGCCAACTTTATCCCTTAATTTCCAAATATTTTTTTGGTCAAAGACTAAGTTCAATGTCGAAATAAAAATGTTTGATTTGCCAATTTCCAATGCTGAGTTTCCAATGTTTCCATTTCATAATAATGATTATTTGAATACTGGTGTTAAAAATTTGAGGTATCGATAAAAGAATTTTTGTCGAACGAAATTTTAACCAGCAAGCTCTTTAACTTCATGAAATTGAGGACATTTTAGAAAAATTACTAAAACGCAATTGATTTAGAGTACTTTACTTCCAAACCCGATAATCTAAGCAATCATGGATACATCAAAAAGGCGCACATTGGTGATGTAATTGAACTTGAGCTTGAACCTAGGGAAGTGGAATAAGATCCTTAGCTTAGATATTCTATCGAAAAAAGATGCAAATTATCAATTTTGATGACTAAAGGCAGGGGTTCAGATAGCCAATTTAGCAACACATGTACGCGATCTGCACCAATCGATAGATAATTTTTTAGTAGCATTTGACAATGACTCCTCTCCTCTCCTTCGGCTGCGTCATATTATTCCATGTCATATTTCGACTGCCGAGTGGAAGGTCGACCTATCTCAGCAGCCAGCTCGAAAACGCCCTATCTCAAAAAAATTCCCAAGAATGCCCTATTTCAGAATTCGTATCAAAAGCGCCCTATATCAGCTGCCGATTCCAAAGCGTCCTACATCAGCACATTTTCAAAACATTTTGAACTGAGATAGTGCGCTTTTAAACCGAATTCTGAGATAAGGTATTTTTCAATAAAATTCTGAAATAGGGCGTCCTTGAAAAGTTTTTTGAGATAGGGCGTTTTTGAACTAACTGCCTGCCGCGATAAGTCAATCTTACACTCAGCAGTCGACTTGTATGGGTACCAGACCAAGGTACCACAGCAAGTAGCGTCATTGGAAATGAATTGGCCAGTAAGACGATTCTCGACTCGGTATCACCGACAAAAGAGATAGTGATACATACTACATTTGAGTGCAAGTGAACTGCTCGATGTACGAAGAAAACCAGGGCATGTGGAACTGCATAGTCCCTCTCTCATCGAAGGTCGACCGTAAGGGCCGAGTGGTCTTCCCAGCCTCACAAGGCCGTAACTATGAATTCCAGTGGACACACTGACGGGGTAATTCAAAATGAAGGAGGGGATGAAATGAAATCATCGCCAAATTTCGTATTAGACTATGTTCAAACAGGCCAATTAGCTGAGGCAATTAAGCTTTAAATTGCGACATTGAGTTTGATGTTCACACACACGCCAGCTGCGCAATTGACGATACGAAATATCAGCTGCTAGATTACCTGCAGTGATGGAAAAGTTGGTTCAATCGTACCTTTATTTAGTTGGAAAGTACATACGGTACGAACAAACAATTTTAGGTACATTTAGAACATAGCCAAATAACTTCTCCGGAAAGCAGTTCTTATTTTTACTGCTAGACGGAAAATATTTCTTTTTAAGACCTCAGATCAAAGATCCGGAATTAAAGTGATTCACCTTTTCTTCAACATACTTTTGTCACGCGCCATTCTGCAATAACTACACTAATCCACTTTAAGCATGGACAAAACATTTGGGAAATTCCTAAATAAATGCTTTTTTTTAATTTTTAAGGTGTAATTGAAAATCAATGACATGCTTCAGGAACTCCGTTTCCGAATTAGCAAAAATTACAGCCGCTATTTCAACTGAAA